CTAAGTACAATAAATCACTACGAACATAAATCGTATACACCCCCCGGAAAGTTTACTCTATGACTGACTGACTGACTGACTGACTGACTGACTGACTGACTGACTGACTGACTGACTGACTGACTGTTTGACTGATTCGTGTGAATTCGCCAGCCATCACAATAGTGTGAAGTGAAACTTCACACTAAAAACGGCCTTCTTCGTTGATTCTCAGTTTGTTTTCTTGTTTATTTTCAATAAAATTTCCGCCTATTTGAAAATGCGAGCCCACGCGCAAGCCCCATGCAAGTGAACTTCGTGAATAGTTAATCATCCCACAAAACACGTTTTGTGCAACGCAATTAAGTCGTGTAGTTAAGGCCAAATAAAAGAAAATACTCAGAGGCGGGAAGGCGGGGTTGTTTTTAAATTTGTACTGGTTTTTTAATTTTTTAATAGTATTTTTTTTTGGGGGGGGGCGGTTTTTCCACCATATCGGTGATATTTTTTGTACTGATGTTGCGAAGACCGCCATTTTGCTATAAGAACCTTGTATAACCAAGACCACGCGCTCCTATCGTCTATCGATCAGTATATAGCGCGAAGGTCTGAGCATGAGAAAAATTTCAAATATTAAACTGTTTTAAGCTGTAAAACGAAGAGATTTATACATAAAAGAAATTCAGAGGCGGCAGAAATCGAGAGGCGGGCGGTAACGCTAACCAAGTTTTTTTTATTATTTGGCCTAACTAATCATAGTTAAGGATTTAACTATAGTGGAGGTCTCTTAATAAATGTTGAAGATAGCCATATCTTCACATATAAAAATCGACAATGTTTGGTGTTATTAAACATTTTTATGAACACGGCAAGCACACTGCATGCAACTACTAAAATTCAACGAAATTTGAAACTAAGTTTATTCAGTAGCCTATAGGATAGCTTTATTTGTTGTAGACTGCAGCCAGAGGTCTATATATTATAGTGGTCCATTAGACACCTTAAGATTGACGTTTACGGCAAACGTCAAACCGCTAGCGATGTTTTTTATTTTACAACTCTATTACAACAGCTTTTACACCAGTTTTGAAATAATGTTAAACTTATTAAACTTGTGCTTATTAGCAATGATTTAAGAAAGCAATTTAACCACTAGTCATGTATTCACCCGAAAGCAGTAAATTAAGATTTGTCGTTTGAAGTTAACGTTTGACGTATAAATTTCGTATTTGAACTGCTAAGAGGGCTTGTAGTCGTTCAACCATGGAATTTATACCCCAAACGTAAACTTCAAACGTCAAATCTTAATAGTTACTGCTTTGGTGAATACATGACTAGTGGTTAATTTGCTTTCTTAAATCATTGCTAAATAGCACAAGTTTAATAATTGTTTAATATATTTCAAAACTGATGTAAAAGCTGTTATATAATAGAGTTGTAAAATCAAAACTTCGCTAGCGGTTTGACGTTTGCCGTAAACGTCAATCTTAAGGTGTCTAATGGACCACTATATAGACCTCTGGCTGCAGTCTACAACAAATAAAGCTATCCTATAGGCTACTGAATAAACTTAGTTTCAAATTTCGTTGAATTTTAGTAGTTGCATGCAGTGTGCTTGGTAACCTATATACCGGACGAAACCTAAACTGGACTCAATTTATTTATACCAGAGGGTATATACTATAGCTTGTTTAGTTTAGATCTTGTATTTGTCCTTACTCCTTTTCACTGTTATTCTTGCAACATATAGGCCTACTTAATTCTTCATGCATTGTCAACATTTGTGATGTCATTTCGGATTTTGGACAAAAACAAAACAATTATATATATTTATTTATTTTTACCATGCAAACCTACAAGGTCAAGGATCTTATGAATGTGCTTTATGACAATGTTATCAAGATACCGAAGTACCTTTAAAAAGCACAATACACTAATTATTAAAAAAAAAACACAAAATGCTTGAGAGCCTGAGAAACCACCACATTCCCGGACAAGATACAAAGGCAGACCGTCGAAGACGAAGGAACTTATTATTTTCAATTGATATTGTGTTCGTCTTGCTGTCGCCGTTTGGATGATTAACTTGGATGAATGGTATCAAGTATAACGAAACATCTTTAAAAAGCACAAAACACGATAATTATTGGAAAAAAAACCCCACAAAATGCTTGAGAACGCGAAATCTCCAAATTACGGCAAATAAAAATATTTCGAAACTCTTTAAATCTTTATTTAGCTGTGGCGTAATTGCCTCATTGTTGGCGTAATTACCTCTATATACAAAGTCTTGTCTTCTGTGATATTTGACATAGCCATGTAAACAGGCGAGTTTACTGTAATTGTAAAGGCAACGAAATTCAAGTCAGCATTTTAGGCAAAAAAAAGCATGTAAAACTGTAAAATAAGTTCACTGGACAACTTTTCTATAGCTTATCTTTTTTCGTTCTCGAGATATTTTAGTTTTATTTGACATGTAAATGAAATAAATCTATACTCTATACTCCTATAGCATTGCCATTGTACAATGGAGTAAAATATCAGTTTCAAAGGTAGTATAGACTATAGTCTCGTCAAACGTTCAAAAACGATGGAATATTTCAAACTATATATACATTGTTGATTATTTTCACCAACGGCAACGTGTATGTGCAGAAAGTAGTGCAGAAAGCAGTCGCTCTTGAGTCTTGCCTCTTGGTTTACAAAGTTGGTTTATATAGTTGGTTTAATAAAAGGCTTAACTCAGGCTGAAAAGTTAAGTATATTTTTTGTAATGGGGGGGGGGGTGTGTGCTGAAAATCAGTAAACGGTAAAAATTTTGGTATTTTAACAGTAAAATTTTGGTATTTTGACGGTAAGTCTTCGAAAAGTGTTCTGAAACGATATATATATATATATATATATATATATATATATATATATATATATATATATATATATATATATATATATATATATATATATATATATATATATATATATATATATATATATATATATATATATATAGCTTCTGCACTTACAAAATAAGAGGCTTAAGTATACTTTTTATAATAAACGGCTGAAGTATTTTGTTTTTAATTTTCTTTGTTCAGAAAAAGGGCTGCAAAACATTTCAATTCCTACAAACAGAATGTCTGTACTTCCCCACAAGCTTGCAATAATAGTTATAGCTACATGCACACAGCATTGAAATTCTTCAGAGAGATATTGCATGTGTTCTATTTGAGTCTGCATGCAACTTGCGAGGCGCCCGAAAACATGCAAGTCACTGCACATGAATATAATGCATTGAAAGTAACATTTAAGATCATTAAATGTTAAAATTCTTTTAAACGTTAAACAATAGTCACTAGACTGCCGGCCATTTAGTATCTGATAAACCGTGACCGGCTGCCGGTCATATAGTCACTTCGTATAAAATTTATAAACATTGTTTGATTTTTTATTCGTACTTCATGTAACATGAACACCAAATGAACCGTATACTCATTTCACATACTCGCTGGCGGCTCGGCATTGTTCGGTAGCTTTTCGGAAAATACGAGTCTACGGTCCCTCCCTCTGGGTAATTCAAGGCAGAGTATAGGTCTCCCGAAAAGGTCTTTTATTTAAAAAAAATCGATACAATTTGCTTTAAAATGCAATGTTTTTGACATGCCCTGTAACTTGGGGAAACTGCTCAAAAACACTTTAACTTCGCATTCTTCGACAGCAGTATTATTCCAGTCGCTGGCTTTTCTACTCCTTCTGACTTCTTTTTTCCCAGACTCGAATAATCCCAATCTTCGACCTTATCCCAGTGCTCCGTGATCATTTAAGCAAATGTTTAAATTCTTATCTTCTTGTATTCGACAACGGGCTCTGACTAGAGCTTGCGCATATGACCTTCAACCCCCCTTCCCGCGTACTGACTCTGGCAAACGAACATTTCTTCCATTCTTTTTAATTGCTTAGATAGCGATTGTAGGAAACTTGTGCTTCGCCATATTGCTCTTCATATACTAACGCCAAACAAATAATTCCGCATAAAATCTTTCTTAACAAGCTTAACCTTACTATAAAATCCGAGCTCGAATTCCGAGCTCGAATCTGAGCTCGAATCCTTGGCTCGGTAAATAGGTATCCTCATACTTTGCTGCCCATATATTGTTCCTGGTTGTTATTGATTGTTAACAATAAACAATGCTGAACAATATTGTTAACAACCTGGACTGAACAATATGGGCAGCAAAACGTTACGAGCAGAAACCCGTCTTGTTTTATTCGTCTGATATAAATTTAAGACGAGTTTCCCGTCTCTACGACGAGAAACTTGTCTAACTTCCCCAGCGTTCAGACGAGAATGTTAGACGGAAAAGTTGAGACGGAAAACCGGCGTTAACCGAATTTATATTTGGACGAGTTTCTCGTCTTATAGACCAGTTAATTTCCCATCTCAGACGGAAGTCCATCTTCTAATATGAATTCAGCTATTAAACAATGTGATCGCTTTTGGACAGGACTCAGGAGTAGATGAATAAAACAACGCGACTGTCTTACACTAAGTTTAAATAATTCTTACTACTTTTTCTCGTGTAGCAACAACAGTATAAAAGTTTAAACAAGAAAATCCAAGAAGTTGCACAATAAAATTAAACGGCATTTAAGACTAGTGCATGCGTTCTACTAAATTTGCTCTCGTACCGTTACGGCACTTGCGTTTTATAGACACAAATCACCCGTTGTTCAAGAGAGAAGAGAGAAGCCTTGATTTTTATAAGGAGTGGTATACTCGGAATATTATTAACATGCACAAAAGATGTATGGACACATTTTTTATACCACCCTGTATACCAGTTTATACAACTACAGCTAGGATCTCCAAATTTGATTGATTAGGAAAGAAACGTTATTTATTTGCATTATCATAAGAAATACATGAAGATAATTCCTTCTTAGCGGTTATGCCTTAATTGTTTATGCGAGTCTACACATGCAGTTTCTACAGTATTGTCATTGTATACCGGAGCATATAGGTTTTAGCGGATACTATGTAAAAACCCTCGGTCTAGCCAAAATCCATCCGAGCCAAATGTCAGAGCAATGGAGGAATCTGATTTTCCTTGTTGATGGAAAAACTTGATTTTTTCAGCTATCAATTTGGCTAGAGCAGCTTCGGCCTTGGCGTTATCACTTGCGGCAGCGCCATCGGCATCGATGGTTGACATCTCACCAGATGCAACATTTTGTGAAAGAAACACAAATGATTTGTGCACAGCTTTATGAGTACTTTTGGGAAGTACATCAGACCCCGACATGCCTTGCCACATTGGTATCATTTCTTTCAGTTTCTCCCAATTTTGATCATGAACGGGAAGATCAGACAGGATTGGACGTAATTCATTCTGCATCTTGTCGTAAATCGATTTTAATTCATTGCATCGAGTGCGAAGATGACTAAAAGTTTCTTGATCATTTTTATTCTTGTGGGTTGACAATGCATAGGCTGGAAACGCTATGTTACCGAGCACTTTCTCGCTAGCTATCTTAAGGCCATCTCCTTCATCAATCCAGGGAAGTGTCTGCAATGCTGGAGCATAAACGTTTTCGTAAAAATCGCTTACAATCTTGGATAAAGACAGTAACTCATTGTATTGGTTTTCCATGATTTACGTTTGTCTTCTTTTAAACATACAATTGCATGTCAGTTTATTATTCTATATGCTCCGAAGATACGCTAGCCTGCGTGGCTGGCTGTTTTAAGGGGTTGGGGCGTGGGCAGCAAAAATTAGGGAGGCGCCTCAACCCCAAACTCCTTAAAACCGCAATTAAACTATACGCAGGCTATATACATGCAGTCAGGCGAAGAGCTGTTTTTGATTGGTCACATTCTGTGACGTTCGATCATGTTGCTGTCACATGATCACGTTGGTATATTAGGAAAAATCGTTTGATTTAAAAGTTCAGCGGATTATTTCAGCACAACGGTCAACGTCAACTCGCAGAAGTCGCATCTTAATTTACTGCTCATTCATTACTTCAGATTATCAAGATGGGTATTGGAATTGCGATTGCAGCAATTGCAGTAGCAGCCACGGTTGCAAGTGACGTTGGGTTTGGCGTTGCAGAAGAAAAGAAACAAGACGAACTAAAATCCGCCCTTGATCAAGCACATTCAGCCATTAACAGCGCAAATGATTTTTACAAAAATGTGTATAAAATTGTAAAGACTCGCTTAGAACATCTAAAGCAGAGCATGCGAAAACTTCCACCAAATGTCATAGCTAAACTCAACAAAGATTTGGTCCTAAATTTGAATAATCCTGACAAGGTTGTTGAGGGTATAGGAAAGGCCCTTGGTATCACACAAACTGCTGTTGGCATGGTTGGGTTGGTTACTGGTGCTTTTACAAGTGCAGGACTAGCGGCGGCTGATAGTGTCGTGGCGACCGTCGCAGAAGTCGCGGGAGCTGCCGGAGCCGTTCTTGCCGTGGCTGGCTTTGGCCTGTCGCTTTACACTGGAATCACAGAACTTAATAAGATAAATGATGCCATTGATAAAGTAAACGGAAAACGTCAGAAAGCAGAAAATGCAATGAAACAAATGAAAAATTCTCTTGATGGCCTGCTGAAAGCTCTTGGAATAACCGTAAGCAGTTACGAAAGTCTCCGAGACATTTCAAACGACTGGGTACAACTCGCTACTAATTTCGACCGGTATGCGACTTCGTTCTATGATGCCATAACTGGTTTCGCAATGGGCAAGACACAGAGTGAGGTCGTTAGTTTCTTGAAACAAAGAGCTTCAGTCCATTTGAAAGATGACGTACTTTCCTTGGCGAAGCTGATCGAAGAAAACATCTTGCAGATGATGAGAGGCGGCAAAAATGACGAGCAAATTGTCAACTTCTATGCAAAAGAAACTCCAAATGAAGGACTCCGATTTGTGATGGAGTCTTACTTTGTCAGTACACTTCGTGAATACGCAAAGTGACATTATACCTTTATGAGAATCATGATGTACGTTTCTTTAACCTGTATAAACAGCTAGAGCGATAAGCACTATAGACAGTTTGGTCACCGATAGTTCCTAGTATTTATATTATACTTTGTAATATCATATTTTTTATCAATAACTACTGTATTAATATCTCTGCATATTAAAACAAACATTAAAAATGATTGCTTCCAATCATATATATGTGCATGAACTCGAAGCTCTGTGTGATATAAAATATTCTAAATAATCGCATGGCAATCAGCCTCCGCCCAATCACAGATTTTAGTCATTATGCATTTATAGCTGTGATTTCTATGCAGCCTATGCATGGTGTAGCTAAAACTCTCTTAATTTAGGATGTTGAAAGTGACGAGATTACAATTCTTACACTTTAAAATGACTGGGGTGCGAGATGTGAAAAAATTTTAACAAGAACTTAAATGTTCAAATGTTACCTTCAATTGCATTTATATATTCATGCATGCATGTGAAGTGACTCGCATGGTTTGGAGTTGCAGACCCAAATAGAAAAGTTGCAAGTTGCAGACCCAAATAGAACACATGCAATATCTCTCTGAAGAATTTCAATACTGTATATATGCATGTAGCTATAACTATTAATGCAAGCATGTGGAATTGAAATGTTTTGCCGCCCAGTCTGAACAAAGAAAATTAAAAACAAAATACTTCAGCCGTTTATTATAAAAAGTTTACTTAAGCCTTTTATTATGTAAGTGCAGAAGCTATATAGGAAACGTTAGCCTGAAAAAATACTGTTTATCGTTTCAGAACGTACACTTTTCAAAGACTTAACCAAAATAAATACCAAAATTTTTACCGTTTACTGATTTTCAGCCGCCCACCCAATCTATGAACCCTCTTATCATATGCAGCTACATGTAGGAGGAAACTTTTGTAAAACCCATGCAGAGCGCCTGCTTTCTGCATAACGTTCTGTATATACATGCACGTTAGTGAAAAGAATGAACAATAATTATATTATATAGTTTGAATTGTTTCGTAATTTTCGAACCTTGGAAACTAATATTTTATTCGCTTTTGATGCCATAGGCATAGATTTATTCATTTACATATCAAATAAATTAAACTAATCAATATCTCGAGAACGAAAAAAGATAAGCTAGAAAAGTTTTTCAGTGCACTTATTTTACAGTTTTATGTAACAGCTCTTTCTGCCTAAAATGCTAACTTGAATTTTGTTGTAGTAGCCGGTAAACTCGCCTGTTTTCATGCCCATGCCCATGGGCAAATATCACAGAAGACAAAACTTTGTATAGAGGAAATTACGCCAACATTGAGGCAATTACGCGAAAGCTAAATAAAGATTTAAAGAGTTTCGAAATATTTTGCCGTAATTTGGAGATGGAGAGATATAGTCGCGTTCTCAAGCATTTTGTGGGGTTTTTTTTTCAATAATTATAGTGTATTGTGCTTTTTATAAAGATGTTTCGTTTTCTTGATATATACCATTCATCCAAGTTAATCATCCAAACGGCGACAGCAAGACGAACACAATAAGTACCTTCGACGACCTGCCTTTGTATCATGTCCGGGAATTTTGTGGTTTCTCAGGCTCTCAAGCATGCATTTTGTGTTCTTTTTTCAATAATTATAGTGTATTGTGCTTTTTAAAGATGTTTCGTTTTCTTGATATATACCATTCATCCAAGTTAATCATCCAAACGGCGACAGCAAGACGAACACAATAAGTGCCTTCGACGACCTGCCTTTGTATCATGTCCGGGAATTTTGTGGTTTCTCAGGCTCTCAAGCATGCATTTTGTGTTCTTTTTTCAATAATTATAGTGTATTGTGCTTTTTAAAGATGTTTCGTTTTCTTGATATATACCATTCATCCAAGTTAATCATCCAAACGGCGACAGCAAGACGAACACAATAAGTGCCTTCGACGACCTGCCTTTGTATCATGTCCGGGAATTTTGTGGTTTCTCAGGCTCTCAAGCATGCATTTTGTGTTCTTTTTTCAATAATTATAGTGTATTGTGCTTTTTAAAGATGTTTCGTTTTCTTGATATATACCATTCATCCAAGTTAATCATCCAAACGGCGACAGCAAGACGAACACAATAAGTGCCTTCGACGACCTGCCTTTGTATCATGTCCGGGAATTTTGTGGTTTCTCAGGCTCTCAAGCATGCATTTTGTGTTCTTTTTTCAATAATTATAGTGTA